TCTAAAATGCAAGATATAAAATAAAAACAGCATATTATTAATTACTTATAATTTTTGCTTTGACATAGAGACGATACTGTTCACTGATTAAAAAGAGTTGGAGCCGGCGAGTTGGTAAGAATTTCTTTAAAATCCAAAGCACATGCAATTACATGCATACCACCTAAGTTTAGCATTTGTCTCTTTAAATTTATCTTCAAATTGGTAAAAAAGTCCTAAGAAACGAACAACAACCTCAAGTTGCGTGTTTTAATCAAGTTAATCGAGCTATGTTTGTTTTACCTCCGCTAAAGCACTGGCCTCAAACATTGCCGGCGCTAGATATTTAAAGTCGCTTTCAAACTCCAGCATCATTTCCCTGATGGCAGTTTTGTTGCTAGGATCATTATGGTCTGTGTATCGATACTTGACCAGCTCTTCTATAACTCTATGTCGATCTCTGTTTTGCCATAGACCAAGTGAACGTTTTATGGTAAATTCAAACTCCTTTCTGTCGACATGGGCGAGATTTCCCGCCTCTAGGACCAAATCAAGAGCTCCTTCGTGTGAAGTAAGCCCTATCATGACGTTAACACTTTTGTCAGGAAATCGTCTTTCTTTGAAAAGCTTCTGGGGAAATTCAGGAAGGAATTCTCTATCTGGAACAGGCGTGGTAATTTCTGCTGATATCTCAGTGGGGAAAAGCGATGAAAACCTTGTTTGAGTATCAATAATTTCCGCCGGGCTTTTGCTCCGTAAACAACGAGTGAGTTCCATGTCTGGCCTGCATTTAGCGACTTTCTTCAATTTCTTCAAGGTGTGAGTGCTTGCCCCATAACCTCTAAGTATAGGTGACGTAGCAAAGCCGCTCTGAATTATGGCTCCTTGAAACAATCCTTTCGACAACGGAGAAATAAGATGAAGGGAGACACTAATTCCCCCAGCACCCTCACCAAATATGGTCACTTTGTTGGGATCTCCACCAAAACTTGCGATGTTTTTATTGACCCATTGCAAAGCCATCACCTGCAGATGTGAGACAAAGTAATTCTTAGATATTTTTGTTCGTTGGTTAACTACGTTTTACACAAGAAGAATGGATCTTGAAGTTTTTAGCGAAGAAAAAAGGGAGTCAAGTTTAATTCTTTATTTTTTGTGTGTATAGTTTGTAATTTAATTGCCAAGTGTTTTGTTTGATAACACTGTCTTCTTTACAATATATTTTAACGATGCATTACCGCACAATTAGATCGTATACCTGATCCTGCATTCCATAATTTCCCTTTAAGTCCGTGCCAGGGATGTTCAGGAATCCTAATATTCCAAGCCTGTAGTTAAAAGTTACCACGATCACGTCGTTCAATGAAGCCAAGATATGGGCCGGATAGTGAGCCGAGGAACCGAATGTGAAGTTGTGGCCTTGAATCCAAACCATGACTGCTTTCCTGTCGCGGACTTTTGTAGTGGATGCCGGTAAAAAAACATTCAGGTAAAGGCAATCTTCGTCCACTATGAGAAAGGGAAGTGTTTAAGCAAGAGTTAACAGTAACTTCGAACAAATATATGTTTATCAGAAATCGTTGCTCTGTTGCTATATGTTATTTTATATGAAAGCGTCATGCCTTACCTTCTCCAACTCTGACATTAGGTATTGGAAAATCTGGCTGAGGGCACGCAGCTTTGTAGTCTGTCGCTTGTCTGATCCCTGTCCATGGTTTGGCCTGGTTTGGAGCAGCAAACCTCAATTCATTCACAGGAGGCTCGGCAAATGGGATCCCAAGATAAGTGAGGACTGATTTGCCAAGTGGGAGGCTTTCAATCTTGCCGACAATTTTTCCAGACTCTATTTGCACGACGGTTGAGTTTTCAAAGCCTCTAACCTGCAAAGGTGGATCAAAGAGATAGATTCTAGATGGCGTTATTGAGAGACGACGAATATATGAAGAAAGCTACTAATAATGATCCGGTTATTGTGTTGATTAAATAACAAGTTTCAAATCAGCCACACGATGAATTTAATAAAAAAAAATTCAATCCATTGAAGCCTGAATCCAGAAAAACTCACCAGCTCTGAATCTGTGAAAGTTTGATTAGAGTTCGACTTGATGCGCTTTGTCCCTGAAACAAAAAAAAAGTCCTGAGTGAATAACTCACTTCTCCTTAAACAGCGCCACCTGTGGGACGTTTCAAGCATATCATATATCATCCCAAGTGCCATTCGTTCAAACTCATCAATGAAAAATGTTTTGGTATACCCAAGTTCAGTACGTTGTTCATACACAATTTGCTATATATGTCGAGCACGGTTTCTGAAATAAACACCCATGCATGTCTTCCAGGTCAATTTGCCGCGTCTCTTGCGTGATATCTGTTCATATTTACCAACTATATACCATTTTCACATTGAAGTAATGTCCTTAATGAGGAAAAATATGATGGAAGTTAGAGCTTTTCATAAGATTCGCTACCGGTCCTAATATCTAACCTTCGGGTATTTCTTCTCTCAGGCAAATCTTGAGCGTGAAGCGCTCATCCCGCCCACCGCTACGGACACTGTTTTTCCAATAAATCACAATTGTCATCTCAAGGCCATCATCTTCTCTCTTTATTCCTTTAAGCATCACGGCATTATTATTCAGCATAAATCTGTCTCGAAACCCAGGCCAGCTATGATCTAGTACTTTACATTGCGTACTTGTGCAGTACGCAATTGCTTCCTTTGCATCTGGCATACTTCTGATATAAAGGTCCTCTACTCGTGTCCATTGCCGCACCATCTTGACTAAGTGGTGAGTCAGGTTCACATCGCTTCCCTCTTGGGCCCAGATACCTGGAATGAAAAGATTAGTAAATAAAGTCCTTTTGCAGACAAACGACAGACTGGAAGCTGGATGATTATAAGGGAAATCTAAAAGCCATTCCTGTCCTTGCTATCACACTCGGGTGGAGATACATTCTTTATCGCATCCTTCGTAGACTGTAGAGTAATGTACTTATAATTTTTGTCTCTTGGGGCTTGTTTTGCGTATTGAAGACGTCCTTTTTTCGATTGCTGTCCGCCAACGTTCATTCATTCAGCAGGCATGACCAGTATGCTACCACTAGATAAAATGTTACCTGATCGAATTAGTTGCTCTAGCGCACGGAGAGAAATGAAAAAAGACTTACATTTGGTAGAAAGATCAATCACAACTGGGTTATTAGTGGTTCGACTTCCATATTCGACCTCGCATGTAAAGGTCACTTTTCTCTTCTTTGCCTCTCGTGTTGACCGTTTTATGATGAGACTTTCTTTGGATACTCCTTTAACAATTATTCCGTCAAACTCCTGTGAATGACTCAGAAGAATACATCTCTGGGAATTGTTGCAATAAGCAATATCAATCATTTTCAAGCTGTTAGAATCCCTAACTTTCCATTTGATGTATTCATTCGAAGATTTCAGTTCTCTACATTCCAGACGTAACGTCTCGTTGGGACACATATGCTTTTTCGGTATTTCACCTAAAGAAAAATGATAAAACTTGTTAAATTCACGTTGATCTCTACGCTTTCCTAGGGGCACTCTAAATTTTTTTTGGTACTGAGAGGTGGTTGTCTCTGGTGTAAAAAAAACTTCCATCGGCCGACCAAGCTTATTATAAATAAAAGTGTACATTTTAAACCACAATAAACCTGTTGTCCCTGTTGTAAAACCCTTTTATCCCTTTAGAGTTTGAATTTTAGTTTTGAGGCAAATTATATACAAACAAACTTCACTGACTGCAGGAAAAGCCCTAAGTAGTTAAGGATGGATGGCTTTTTCTGGGACTCATTTACAACACGAAAGGAGATAGTACATTCAAAATTTCATTTTATTTGTCATACCTGAAAAGTTTACCTTTCACCATGAAATTTTGAGCTCAGGATCAATTTATTCTATAGTCCGAGTCTTATTTCGTCAACTTATCATTGGTTTATTGATGCAAAACGGCATTGAAAATACAACGCCGTGATTTTGATGACTTCCTGTTTTGTAGAGCACAATGCAGTCAAAGTAGTTTTTTTTAGTCAAATCGGGAATTTGCCTTGTATTTTTTTCTCTTGTAGAGTGACGACGCTCTAGCAAATTCACGGTAGTGCTCTAACCTTGGAAAGTAAACACAAAGCCCTGTAGTTGACCTGTAAAAATAAGTTTATCTGCGTAAGTCTCAATGTATTATCTTCATATCAAATTACACACGTAAGGGGAAAAAATGATAACTGAACGGATAAACAGGACAGATACTCGAGGACTCCCGGGATTTGCGGAAACCGAAAATACTGAAATGAGGAATATTATCGCAGTTGCATGTATCCATTTCATTGGCTGGTTTTAACTAAAGGAAGTTGCTAAAGTGAAAGTGCTTACTACGGAGAAAGTGACTTAGGAAATGACTCGTTCACAATCAAAGCTGGGGAATTTAGAAGCCCCTCTATAATGTTTCACAATCATTTGAGTCTAAGAGTCCATGTTGGTCGACGAGAAAGAAATACTCGATCTGACGGCTTGTATTGGCGAGATTCGAATATATGCTTCGGTTTCGCTTTGTCAAGACTTTAATCAATTTGACGTTCAATGTAAGAAGAATTTTTAGAATTTGAGCTAGAGAAGATGTTTTCAATATCGTTAGACTTAGTGAGAATGCTGATCCTCGAATTAAGCAGCGACGTAAATAAATCAGATTATTATGTCACAAAAGTCATCACGTGTGAACTGATTAATAGTCGTGTTCATTGATCTGCAAATTTCTTCCTGTGATTTCGTAAAATCCCCTGAATATCTTTGGTTTTTCCCCCCAGGAAAGGAGGCACGTTCGTTTACATGTAATAGTTTTTTCCGACAAACAGTTTCACTTACATTGATCCACCAAAAGTTAAATTTGTTGAATCCGTGCAATAAAAAAAGCCTGATGTGGGTGACTTATGGGCTCAGTCATGAAAAACCTTCTTGCCAAACAACTGGCAATTTGAAAGGAATTTTACCGAAAAGGACAAAGGAATCAGAAAGAATGAAATTTGAATACATAATTTTCGAAAAAGACTAATACAAGTTTAAAGATCTTTTTGCAGTATTTTTTTTTTCATGTTCATGTATAGTTATCAGAAAAATCTGAACTCTTTATAAACTTTTCTGAGCTCTCCCTTCATTGTTATTTGAAAACATGGCTTC